AGGGTAGCACGTCGGCGCGCAGTCCATCATACTTGGGGTGTGATTTTGTACATATGTTCATGTTGTATATACTGAATTGGTATTATCTCTCATCTATCCGTTCATAATTTTATTTGTGTCCGGACGTCTTCCATTTGTATAATCAACCTGAGAAGGAATGTAGGCATACTGTTGTAAGTCCTACAGTTCTTCAAGGGCAGTTCGTCAAGGCAGAATCCACAACGTTTGATGTATTGATTGAACACATATTTGTGTTAAGTAATTGAGTGTATTCCGATTCATCTGATTGTTGGTTAATCTTATAACTGTCACATTGTGTGAATCATCTTGCAATGTTATTGTAAGTACTTCTGAATACGTTTCGAGACTTCCAAACTTGTGAACGAATCGAGTAGTGTTGATTCAGTGTATGCGATTTCATACACTGGGGAGAGGATTGTGCCAGAGTGATATGAAGCAACCAACACCCCGTGGATCAGATCAGTGGTGGTGCTGTCGACAGAGAGCGAAGGAAAGTTCCGTTACTGAGGAGGATCCCACAAGCCGGGGAGAGCAACCTGGCGTTGCGCGGTACGCTTGCTATGTGTTAGTCTTTTTTGTCTTGCTTTTCCATTTTAGCCTAGTCTTGGTTGGCCCAGCTTCCCGCATTGGCAGTTCAGTTCAAGGTTATCGGCGCTATGGACAAAAGGGTTGGACCCATTTTGCCGGGGAGTGTCAATGGAAATGAACATTGAACGGTGGTTCATCGGCCTTGGTCGCCATTGGTGGGCAATTCAAAGGCGCGAATGGTTCAATCGTTTACATGTTCGAAGAAGACAAACGAAACGAGTAAAAACTATGTACTCACCCTCGATTTTAATTGCCAAATAACACAACTTCCTCCTTAAATCCATTGGTGTTTTGGAGTTAAAGTCGAGAATCAGTCGTAGTATTTATCGGTTCAGAGCGTCTTCGTAACAATAAAAACTTAGATATTGAATTCAATTTTTGATTTTCCCGTCGATTGATTGAACCGAAGTGCTCGGTCTCAGGTTGACATGTCGGCTTCTTGTGCAGATGCTTCGACGATGTCTGGGTATTTAATTAGTATACAATTGGTGGATGGTGGCTAGCAGTGGAATCCAGGATGCACATTTCGTCCTATTTGGGACTCGTCAGCTGGATGTACCTGCATTTCTCAGTGAGTGATGATGTTCCCACCGAGGCTCGAACCCAGTACCCATAGTTTCGAACGCCAAAGCGTTATCCACTAGACCACTTGGGCCACGAGAGCCACCTCTTGTGGCCCAAGTGGTCTAGTGGATAACGCTTTGGCTTTCGAAACTATGGGTACTGGGTTCGAGCCTCGGTGGGAACATCATCACTCACTGAGAATGCAGGTACATCCAGCTGACGAGTCCCAAATAGGACGAAATGTGCATCCTGGATTCCACTGCTAGCCACCATCCACCAATTGTATAATAAAAACTTAGGGTTAAATTCTTTGACATTTTTTACACACTGGCTTTTACTTTTATTTCGCAACTTGTCCCAGCTTATCTCGATGCACTTTGCCCCATATGTCGCATTAAACCTCATTTTTTCTCCTTACTCTTAAAATGAGTTATTTCCTTGGCTACAAATGTTTTTATCTCCACGTCAATTCATTCATTTCGCTTAAGTTGTGTCACACGTTGAATTCACGTGTGGTTATAAGGTTTTAGTTATTTTTCCGCTGCTTAGGAAATGACACCAAGTTGAAGTTTTTGAAATTATGGAGATGAGCGTGTCTAGGTGTAAAAAGCTCTTGTTTCAGTTCATTTGTTGATTTCCGCTGTTGTTGCTGGCTCAAGTGATTACCTTATATGTAGAAAACTAAAAAACGATTTCTTTTACAATCATGTTGACAGCATGATCAGAGTTTATATTAGCGAGGTTTTCGTCGAACACATTAAACCTTGAGAATTGAGAACCCGGGTTTAATTTGAAAAAGCTTTGTAGCTTCTCGAGAAGGTGAGTATACCATCAATTCGACTGTTATCCGTTAAATAACCAGATTTATTGTGAGAGAATCTAAATTTATCAGGGATCAACCACATGTACAGTATGAATTTATTGTGCTTGTATGAATTTTTGGGAAAGAAAAGAAACTGGAAAGCAATCAGAAAACTCTAAAGGGTAAGTGTCACATATAGTCATTCCATAATGTCACATATATAGCTAATGCACAAAGTACTAGGTCCAATCACATGAAATAGAACTATGTGTAGTAAAGCCAAGGTTAACAATCATTCAATATGTTGCAAAACGATTTAAAAAAAGGATAGCGTACGATGAGTGGGTGGGCGAACTATCTTAGTTAAGGGTAAGACTAATTAGCGAAAATAACATTTTGGATTTTGGTTCACAATCCGTGGTCATTTTGAAGCTACAACAATCTGAGACGTTGATTATTATTCGGAGTGAAAACATTGGCTGAATACAAATTGCTTGTTTTAGTTCAAATGATCAAATTCTTACTTTTCGGTTGTTTGTGATTTCTGCTTGTCCATAAATACAGATGTTCATGAACCAAAAAACTTCAAATAAATTTTCCTTGAACCGGTGGTCTTATTTTACTTGGTGAAACATCTGCTGACACGATAAGACGAATAGATTGCTTGGCAGAATATTCTGTGACTAAGCACCGTAGTCCCTATGCTTCGGTTTAGTATCAAGCGTCTAACTGCTAAAACCCCGTGGATACAGCTTTTACCGCATGGTGCATTACAACATCTAGAAATAATACACACACTTTTTAGGTAGATGTATTCCTACTTTTTAAGTGACTACACATAGTGAGATATGTGAGGTGATAGGATAAATACTTCTAAACGCTTTCGTGGAGATTTCGATATATTCAGTTTTTTTTGGCTAGGAGACGATATTTTTATTGAGAAAGTTCTCAGGATGTCCGCTTTTACTCTGTTATTCAAAGATAACGTTAAGTTGCTCACTGAAGTAGCAGCCACAGGAGATTACCATCAGCGGAAACTATTTTAAGGTAGCCGCATAGCTTTAGGAAATGCGTAAACAAAACAATCAGCGTGTCTAAATATACTAAACTTTGTATAACTGGTCAAATCGTAGTACCTGCATATTAGTTGATCTTATAAATAATGAATGTAGCGTACAAGTGTTTGATTTGATTCGCATATTTGGCTCATAAACATTATGCCCTTGTTTGCCTGCCTTTATTTCAAAGTTCGGTAGCCTTAGCTAGGGTGTTATTGTATGTTGAGCTGCTAGGATCACGCTTGCTAGCGGATACAAGTGATCTTTTAACAATGTCAGAGTTTGCTTGTACGGCTATGTTTGAGAGTTTAATGAGATTAGAATGAATACTAGATGTCAATTTATTCGCATTTGGTTTCTGTTGATTAATAATCTAAGCAGATTGGGCCAGAGCATCATATTTATAGTTAAAGGCTAGTTTTGAAGGCTTTCTGTCCTTGTTTTCCCTAGGAACATTGCATAGGGCTGTGGCACAAGAATAAAGTTGGCATATTTTTTTTTATTTTTTTTTATTTTTTATTTACAGCTTGATTCCACACTGTATTTTGGTACAAGTATGGAATTTTCAGCATGGATATCGGTAGCCCAAATTTTGCAGGCCGACCATAGATATCAGGTGTGCGTCGGCGTGGGCTCGAACCCCGGACCATGTGCATGGTCGGCGAGAAACCTAACCACTGTGCCACCGACGCATATGTACCAGGACCATGGGTATGGGTTTGTTTCTAGCACAAACTCAAAATATGGTGTCAACACTCATTCGTCCCATCGACAGTGCACTTATCGCATGCAAAAATTGAACTGGAATGCCTAATCGCTTTTACAGACAACAGAACTACAGACTTGGTCCTCGTAATGTTTCTCAAAAAAGACTTCGAAATTAATTGAAATTCTTTACGTTTGTTTTTATTCTTGTAATATGTGACACACTGGCTACATCCCTAGGGTTGTATAAGTCACATTTTTGTATATGTTCGATCTATGCAGTTTTGTCAGTGGACTGTGCAGACTATTAAAGCCGAGGGTATGCGTCTAAGTCTTATGAGCCTGTATCTGAGGTAGCGTCGATGATTCTGCTTTATTTCCTCACCTAACTAAAGTCCTGTTCACTACAGAATATGGTGTAACAATGCTCTCTTTAAGGCTAAATTCGACTGTTGTATTATCATTTGTTATGGAGCGCCACTAATCCACGAAAAAAGAAACATAGACAGAATGTTTGGTTAAGGAAATAAGAACTACAACTGATAATTTGTGAGAGAGAAGCCCCGAATTTGCCTAGGTCTCTCAGGTTGTTCAGCTTCACAAGAGTCATAGAGCTGTCCAGATGGTCTCGTTGATTTGATCGAGTATGGAAAATGATACTAAAAAGATGACACCAGAAGCTTCGGTTCGAGACATTTGAACTTACAACACAGAGATTCAGTGTGGGAGAAAAAATCATTCGTTACAACCGGCAAATACTTACCTTTTTTAGACTGTCCTAATCCTCGCATTTCACCGAATCTTTAATGATCAAAACGAAATACAGCAGCATACTTCCGTTTATCATCTGAATCTTTTTATTTGTTCATACTAGGCACTATGAAATACGTCTATCAAGGCTGATGTCCGCACTATTCAAGCAACTCTAAAATGACCTTGGAGCTGTGGGTTTTGAGCATTATGTCTATCGTCACGACGATAGTCATCATCACATTTATTGTGAGCCATTTACATTTGAAAGCTTATTTTTTAGCTTCTTATTGTGATGTATCTCACCACAGATCCATATCCCAATCTATCTCGGACTAGCGAAGAAGAGTACTTTTTTGATCCAGAATCTTCGGAATGCTTTAAATTACCATACGGGCTTACAGAAAGACCTGAAAAGAACTTTCGGTTATTATTCCGGCGTACAACGAAGTCGAAAGACGTGAGTCAAATTATGTAAATGAGACAGGTTTTATAAAACGGTAGTTCCTGGAATGTTGGCTGAAACTTTGGATTACCTTAACAAAAGAAAAGTAATTTTGTGATTTTCAATGCATTGTAGTAAAGAATATGAATAAGGCATTTACTTTCGAGATTATTATTGTAAATGATGGCAGTAAAGACCATACAAGAGAGGTGGGTTTTTTGTAATAAAACGATTGGATTTTTAGATTGCTCAGAAATATTCTAAAATGGAAGGTTCGGATACTGTCCGTGTCATATCCCTTAGTAGAAACCGTGGAAAGGGTGCAGCTGTCAGAATAGTGAGTGGTAGTTTTTACTGGTTGACTTTGATCTTGTTTTACATGTGAGCTCTTGGAGAAATTAGATTATAGTTAATGCTTGAGGATAGATTCAAACGACCAACGATACTAGGCTCTTGTAGCATGTGCTAAACTTAACACTTCGTATGTTTCTGAAGATCAGATTTCGCTTTGGAAGCACTCATGTTGAACTGATACCACTTGATGGTTAAGTTGGTGGAAATCTGAATTCCACCTGTAGTCTGTTCTACCGCAATTTTAGCACCTTTTTGTGATTACCTCTCGAAGAAATCCCCTGAGTAGAGAAAGCACTAGAAACTTCAATACTTAAATCACCATTTACTACTTTATGAGCCGAAATTAAATCGCCTCTCCTCATCGTTATGATAGAACGGGATGTAGATGTCTCAACCTCTTCTTATAGGAAGGGTGTGAGATACCACTTGAACTTATTATCTACCCCTATATTTCTTTCAAGACTCGCGCCTCCTTGAAGCATGGACTAGCAGCTTGTTCACAGTATTCTAGATTAGGTCTGATTTATTTTGAGTAGAGTATTACGAACACTCATCTGAGTGCTTAAAAGCTCATCGAGTTACATACTGTACTTGCGAAACTTTTGTTGCAACCGTATTGCAATATGCAGCTGTTTTCAAGTCGTGGCTAACAATAATTCTTGAGACCTTTTGTTCCTTGACATTAGGTTATTCTGTTTCGTCCAGAGAGTACGACGTGTAGGATCTCTAGCGTAGGTGTATGGTCGTCGTTTTTTCGGAATTGGTTTTCAAACCCCAGCAACCGGACCTATTAGTTAATTTTTTCGAAGTCATCCTGTAAGACTGACCTGTAGTAGTATTCACATTACTCCACATCTTAATATCCTTAGAAAATAGTAAAATAATGTGGGAATTTCCAGCTTTTCGTTTATGCGTGGTAAGAACAATAAGCGGTCTGGAATAGTACCCTGTGGTACTCTCCTCGATACCGATTTCCATACCGAGACTACACTGTTTACCTATGACCTTTCTCTTCTATGCAGTAGGCAGTGCCTGAATCAATCACATAGACACTTATCTATTTAGATTCCTTTTATTTTACTGAGAATATTTAAATGAGAAACTTTATCGAATGCCTTAGTAATAATAATGGGAACTACATCCACCGGTGTGTTTCTAACCCTGTCTTCAATTTAATCTTCCCTAGCTAATAGTGAGTTCTATGAGGAGAATCTTCTTGATCTGAATCCAAGCTGTTCCTTCCCCAGAAGGGTTGTATTCCTCCGCATCAGCTAGCACTTGATGCTCTACGATTTTATACAACATTTATAAGCATGTCGGACGTAAAAGCCGATAGTTTGATGCTGATTTCCCATCCCTCTCTTCGAAGACAGAACTTATGACTGCATCCTCTTGATCACTTAGTAGCGTAGCTTGAGTTAGAGACATGGCGAATATCTTGGCAAGCCGTAAATCTATGATATCAAGTAAGGAGACTATCGATCCACAATGGAGTCCCTCCTACAGTGATGATGTAGTCCGCTTTGGTTTAGAATGCAGTTTGATGACCACTGTGTTGTCTGTCATAATTGGGGTTATTTTTGTATTGGTGACAGTGACTTCGGGTAACTTCTGGGTGTTACTGTCCGACAAAAAAGATCAAAGATGTTTTCAGCCTTCACTCTGTCTGATATGACTGCCTCACCTACACTGTCTATAACTGCTGGTATATCACTGCTTAATTTAGTCCTACATTTTATATATTAATATAGCTTTTTGGGAAAGTTTGGGGAGTCCATTACCAATTGTCTTTTACATTCTCTATGTCTTTTGTTGATCGCACACCCACAGAGGTGTTGGGTTTACGACAGTCTGTCCCTCTCTATTCCGGTAAACGTATCCTAGAATCGTTTTCTCCTCATTTCTTATTTCACTATCCACTCATGGAGGTTTTTCCGATGGCTTCCAAGCAGTGGACCAATCTACAACAAGTGATGTCATACACTCTGATGTATTTCTAAATTCCATCCAAGTTTCTTCAACAGTGATTTTCGTTAACTGACTAGTCAGTTAAGACTGCTACGTTTCTGATTGCCGATATATCTGTTTTCCAAATGTTTGAACGAGATAGTAACCAATAGATGAAGTCATGATTCCTAAATGCAAAAGTAGTGATTGAGTGTTTACTGCTATCCAATGACGGGAGGCACCTAACGTCACTTACATGCTCATGGTGTGTCCGTAATGGAAGAGTCATCCTGAGGGTTATATCGTATTGGCGCATGTACATGCTGACAGGTGCATATTCAGTAATAGTCAGTGTAAGTTACCTCTTGAAATCATTTTACACGCTATTTTGTGTGTCCCCTCCAAACAATGTGTGGGACATTAAAGTTTCATATTATCAGACACCTATTCGTAATACTCCAAAGCTGCAGATGCTTCAGTACGAAGTACGGGATTTCTACATATAGTAACAACTTGTGGCTTCATTAATGTCACTGTCATGTGTTTCTGAAGCCGTTAACTTAATTCCTACATCTTTTCCAACCCTATACTATCTGCTTTGTTGCAGGTGTTCCTCAGTATGTGTGGATTGAGATCTACACTCACTCATAACCAGGTCTTATTAATTGCTATGGCCTTTCAAATAGTATCCCCAATTTATGAAGCCTGTTCTTTAGACTGCGCGCGTTGATGTAGGTTACTGAAACACCCTTGCTTTCACTTAACTTATGAACGAACGTTTTGTCAATATGAGTTTCTAAGATCCTACTGCCCATTATCTTCAGGTTTTTCCTCCTTGAATTCCGCTATGGCTTCACTGCTTTTGCTTCTATTATCCAATGGCCAGTCAGGGGTTTGATTGTCAAATTTTTTTGTCTCCATCTTAAACGCCTTGTGACAGATGATGTTTTTTTCTCTCTGATCCTCTACTACTACTTTTTGTATTCTTCAAGTGTTTACAGTTGGATTAAAATTACGTTTCCTGATTTTTTTGATCACCTTTTTTCCATGAAATTTTGTGTGTAATGAAATATTTTCTATAGTTTGGTTTGTAAGGGTTAGTTTTGCTTTTACGAGTTGATCACGGATTAATACCAGTTAGAGAATCATTGAAAACCAGTCTCAGGGAGTAATGGACAGCTGTTTCATCCTGGTTTGGGAATCATCAGCAGTACACACTCACTGGGGTTCGAACCCAGGACCTTCCGGTTACAAGGCCAGCAAGCTCGTATACCATTCAGCCACTGGGACCCGATTCATTGGCAAGCCCATGAATTCTAACTTCTACCAATTCGTGATTTAGTGCGACCCTAACCATTGTCGTAGGTGGCACATCCCTCCCTGGCTTTCAATGGTTCTGTAGCTGATATCAATCGGTAATCAACTTGTAATAAAATATCCTCCGTCAGGTGAAATCTGCTTTTTCAGTATGACATAGAGTGTACTCCATTAGGTATACTTCATTGGAATCTTCGGATCTATACTTGTTTCGACATTGGTAATTTTTGAAGCATTCAAAACATTATCTCTTTTATTATCGATTTTGTGTTTGTTTAGTCTGCCACCCTCTGATGCTATTCATGTGTTGATTGTGTTCTACATCATAATCTTTTCTCCATCAGCAGCCACCGTTCCCATTGTTTCACTATGCTTCTGCATGGTTATCTCTCCAGTCGCTGTTACAATACTCAAAATGCATACCCTATTTATATTTTCTAGGTGTCCTTACTTGCAGATTTCTTAATTCTCTCTACCTAATCTATGGTCATTACCCAACAGTCCGGTGTAGCTATACTGTCATTGTGTGTTGTACAGAATTTGCACCAGTGGCGAGTTTAAATGTCAGCCATCTATTGTGAGAACTTCCACAAGTTTACCGCAGAACTCACACTCATGGAGACGATAGTTTGCCTCATTCACTATATTCCAAATGTGTTAGGGTATTACAAATATATTAATTACAGCTGTCTGATAGACCAGAGGAAAAAGGTAATCTAGTCTTTCAGAGGAATTTTAACTACTTATAACATCATAAATTAATTAAAATGCCAAACCACTAAAGCGAATTCCAAAAAATGAATGACACTAAAGCTCACAGTGTCCGTAAAAGTAAAAGCAGCCAAACTGCTAACCGCACAGTAAGGGTGAAAACACAATAGTTTGTTGGTTAACTAAAACAAAAAAAGGCGGGATTAACCATAAAACATAAAAATCTAGGTCTACTCTATCCGGCGCTTATAAAAATCATTTCAAATGATTTTAATTTTCACCTAGAACCAAGTGATGTATTCTCCAAAAGAAACCAGTCATTTATGCAGCTGGAACGACTTCGAGCTTGTTTCTGGTTGACTTCAACTGGAAATTACATTGATGATTGTTGTGTGGTTATCTACGCTAGTAGACCTGCTTTTTGACCACACTACCTGCTGAGTGTTAAGCCTGGCTCTCCTAACTTGGTTATCAGGCTGTTGTTAGTATCTTCACAACCAATAAAGCGCGAATTATAATAATCACATCTTTTCAAGAATGCTTTCATTGATAATGATGTAAAAAGAATTTAAACATACACAGGCACACCACAAAGCATCAATCACGATCTTTTCCATTGAAAAGCCACTTCTCCGCAATGTGACCCAGCCAATACAGATTCACAAATTGATTGTTGGAAGCGAAATGTCTGAGATAGAATTTCTCCAATCCCTTACATTACTTTTCCACCAGAATCAATTAAGATTGATGCTATTGAGTGAAGATAGTTTCATTGCATAAAAGGATCTTGTGGAACCTACAAAATCCGTTGTGCATTGAGGATCTGAAACACAAAGCAGAACAGCAGAAACTAGTTAAGAAAGATAAGTAGTAGTGTAACAACAGAAGACAAGGGCCAGGCAACATATCATTTATTAAGAAAATCAACACATATTTATAGACTTTAATGTACATTATTATAGATTATTGTTAGCAGGAAAACAATCTGCTGATTGGTTGTTTAAAGGCTGACGGTATTGACGTTCGCGGATTGTACGGAGTATACTAACGCAAGATCTAATACCAACACCATCTACAGTATTCGTTCCGCGTAGACCAAAGGTAAAGCAAAAGACACTATTTGATCGTCCAGATTACGAGATATATTTCGGGACCAAGTCGGAGTGCTAGATGATTGCTTAACTGCCTAGTGATCGTGCACGAACATGACACGACGGAGTATCAAATGGCGTGGATGCCTGACCGGAAGCCTTCAGCTAAACAAATCGACTTAAACAGTGAGGGTCAGCATCCGATGTTAGTGATGATTGCTGTGGTCAATAATTTTAGGGAATTATTTACCGCTACAGTTGTTTCTCACTAAAATTTAATCTTTCATCTCTTTGTGGCTGTTTCTTTAATGTCAGATCATCCATATGCTAACGCCTACGCAAAGTCTGCTGTGGCTGGTTGTTTAGTCAGTCTTTGTTCTTATTTTTCTTGCGACCAGTATTGGGGACATAAACATTGACGTAAATTACTGTCTACCAAATCGGCTATCAACCTGCTCTCACTACAGTAGTACTAATAACATGACAACATTGACAATCGGCTCAGCTTTTGATGAGTAGTTTAGCTGATATAATTTCGTAACATGTAAGCATACAAAAACAATCCCAGAAACGAAACGGCGATTAACTACACATACATATATCCTCAATCAATAAAAACAGCATGTGTCCATAAGTATTTCCAGTGAGAATTTCATTCCCAACTCATATTCGAAGGAGGGAAAGAATTTCGAACATTTAATATAGGTACTGTTGAATAAAGCTATTCGTTTTGTAATGAAAAGAACGTGAATGGGACCACAAAGAGATGAACTCTAAGCTCATTGTCCAGTCATATCACGTGATGCATCTATATAAAGTGACGTTTTTGTGTGATGCTGAGGATTGAATGATGGTAGGTTAAGAGCAACACAAGACCTTACGATTAGTTATTATGGAGTTAGTTATGTGTGTATGCCTGCAATATACAGCGGTAATTGCTTGATGATAAACTAGGCCCGGTTAACTCATGAGTCAGCCTCTCAGATTGTTATTGAGTAATTTTTTTTATTATAACTTAATTCCACCGTGTTTTTTTGTACAAGTGTGGAATTTTCAGCATGCAATATCGGTAGCCTAAATTTTGCAGGCCGACCATAGATATCAAAGGTGTGCGTCGGCCGGGGATTGAACTCCGGACCATGTGCATGGTCGGCGAGCGTCCTAACCACTGTGCCGCCGACGCCACCGAGTAAGAAATAAGGATACAATACAAAAGTCGAAATAAAGCGTTCAACCTGTTATTCGATTTTGCTTAGCTGATAGGCTAGCCATGATGTTTTTACCGTTTATCATCTGGTGTGCATGTATTTTGTCGTAGAGTAAACCGCTTATGCCTCTTTTCCACACTCATAGAAGTGCTTTCTCTCTCTCTTTTTTTTATTCCTTTACATTCCAGTGGACACATAAATTTACCGGCTAGAGATTAAAGTGTAGCTTTATGAGTCAGCAGAATAACTTTACACACTTGGTTACCTTGGTAAATTTCGATAACACGGAGGATTTAATCATGAGCTGACATCAGTTAGAGAACCACTGGAAAACCTGGGTGTACTGGACCGATGTTTCGTCCTAGTTTGGGACTCCTCAGCAGTACGCACCCACCGGGGTTCGAACCCAGGACCTTCTGGTTACAAGCGAGCTCATGGACCATTGAGCCACTGGAACCCGATCCAATACTTGAAAATTAATCTGATGCTCATTAGCGACTGGCCCTATTCAGGCATTTAACCTGGGGTTCTAGTGGGAAGCCGTGACCAGTGGGGTACAGCAGGTTGAAGATGAGGCAGTAACTCATCGAAGAAGACATTGCGAAGTGGTCGTGCTATGTCATGAATTGGCAGAAGTTAGAATTCAAGGACCATTGGATCGAGTCTCAGTGGCTCAATGGTCTAAGAGGTCGCTAGCCTTTTAACCAGAAGGTCCTGGGTTCGAACCCCAGTGGGTGCGTACTGACGAGGAGTCCCAAACTAGGACGAAACAGCTGTCCAGTACACCCAGGTTTTCCAGTGGTTCTCTAACTGACGTCAGCTCATGATTAAACCCTCCATGCAATCAAAAAATCCCTACAAAACCAATACTTGAAAATTTCGATAAAGAAAGAACAAGACAAAGAAGCTAACAATATTATTTTCAATTAGGTCTTCAGGCTTTACTCTAATTTACGCAACTTCACATATTAAAAAAAATATTGATTGTTTCGATCACTGGTACATTTGTTAATTCGGCTGTCACGTCTTACGACACCATTAGTTTATTTTTGATACATCGACATGATCGACTTGTGTAGAAAATTGGAAGGTATATTTGAAGCTATGAATTACCAATTTATTTCGAAATAGCTCCAATGAATCAGCTAACGATGGATTAAGCTAGCTTGTGGCATGATGAGTTGATCATTGATAATAGGCGTCTTAAGGGTACATTAGCCTTATAGGTTTTTGGTAGGTCGTACATAAAAAAGGAGGCGTACATCCAACTTTTCGACTTGACTTCATTGTACTCTTTTTTGTTGATCAGTTTCTTGATGAGGAGTTCTTTGAGGCATTTATTTACTTTACGTTGCATCCCTTTTAGTTTTATCCACCTCGAATATTTCCGAGTGTAAACCCTATGATGTCATCATTTTCATATAGTTTCTTGAGTGTTACTGTATGCCATCGCCAGTCAGTATCTTCTGTTTCTTTGATGGTGATGGTATAAGTTTTCGAATTGTATTTCCGTGTCTATACGGCTGATGTGCTTGCTTCTCAGGGACGTGAAACTTGATTCCAGAGATAAGGCTTCTCATACAATTTCGCTTAATTGTAATTATGATAGATTATATACGTAGCGTTCATATGCTTCTGGGAATTCTTCAACAAACTTTTCTTTAACCAATGCTTTCGTCAGCTGATTTTAATATTCTTTGAGAGTTTTAGATTGTAATTCTTTGATAAAGTCCATGAATTTGAGCCAGCAAATAATATTTTGCTCGTCCAGTAAGGTATCATACGTAACCAAATGAGACTTCAAACCGGAAACATTTAATGAAGTTTCATTACGGGATTCTCTTATTTGGTAAGGGTTCTTTTGTGAAGGTGGAAGTTTAGCCACTCGAACTTGTTTCAAGAATTTACAGTGTCGAAAATCCTGTCTGCAAACAGTGTTCGTAGAACTTCATCTTCGTCCACTCTGTAGATATACTGCGTTGTAAGGTCACTACTTGATTTAGTGTTTCGGTGGCACAGCAGTTGGAACGCTTGCCGACCATGCATACATGGTCTGTGGGTTTCGATCCCCAGCCAACGCACACCTAACATGAATAGTTGGCCTGCTAAATTTGGGCTACCGATATCAATGCTATTTGGAATCATTATTATTTCCTTTAATTCCTAGAGGAACATAGGGCTTCAGCCGCGCGTCCACATTGCGTTCAGTTTGCTGCTAGAGTTTTCACCTGGCTCCATGTCTGCCCACATGCTTTCATCTCCTTTTCACGTGACCTCCTCCAAGTCACCCTTGGATGACCAACTCGCCGCTTCCCTTTCGTCGGGTATCACTCGAGCAATGGCTTGTCTAGTGATGTCACTTGATGGTTTGTTTCCTCAGAGTATGGCCACCAATCCACCTCTATTTCTTCCTGCCTATTTGTTTCACAGTCGGTTCCTGGTTGGTTCCCAGAGATCCCTGTTCCTGATCTTTTCTTGCCATCTGATCTTGACTATTGAGCGAAGACAGCTGTTAATGAAGGTCTGTAGTTCGTTTGAGGTGCTCTTTATGACGCGCCAAGTCTCTGATCTGTACAGTAGCACTGACTTCACATTGGAGTTGAAAATCCGGATCTTATTTTTCATGCTTATTAGTTGTTGTTGTTGACCTCCACATATATGGAATCAAGCTATAATAAAATAAAAATAATGACTTGATTATTTCCACAGGGAGGCATCTTTGCAGAAATTTCATGCTTGTGATCTGACATCCAAGACAGCCAACCATCTACTTCAGTCTAGGCGCCTGAGTATTATTTTATTTTTTTATTTTTGATTACAGCTTGATTCCACACTGTATTTTTGGTACTAGTATGGAATTTTCAGCATGGATATCGGTAGCCCAAATTTTGCAGGCCGACCATAGATATCAGGTGTGCGTCGGCGTGTGCTCGAACCTCAGACCATGTGCATGGTCGGCGAGAGTCCTAACCACTGTGCCACCGACGCAAACTGTGAGTTTTCGTGCGGCGCATTATTTGGTCTCCATTGTCTACGAAGTTTGCATTTTTAAGAATCTATCTGTCTGTCTGTTTTCGACATAGAACTTTGCACAAATGTGCGGAAGTTCAAGTCGCCACACTCCGTGTAGCACGCGAAGCAAGAGAAGAAAGTACAAGAAAAGCATAATAGAAACAGTGAGCAGAGGTGTGAGACAAAGGAGTAATAAAGAAAAACAAAACAGTTTCATTGGAGATCATAAGTCACAAGGAGTGGATGCATCTGCACCAGCCACTGAGAACGATGAGTTTGAGCCATGTCACCAATTGTTTCCAACCATAGATTTTTACCGTCCCGAGGACCCCAACTGGTCAGGAAGTCTACACCTTCCTACGTGGCTTAGACCAACTGTTGTGGATTTCATTGACTGGTGAAGCCATGTTTTTGTTTGACCGCCGCTAGCTTTTTTCCAGCCTGACCCTATATCCGCTAACATTTTTAAGAATAGTAATAAAATAATATTTTGTCTGAAGTCTGTTAACGTTATTATTATTAAAAATGGTATTGATGTCTCCTTATACTGGCGTGTATTGTATGTCATTGCGTTTCCAATTTTTTAGGGAATGCTTTCAGCACGTGGTCGTATACTGTTGTTTGCGGATGCTGATGGAGCGACTCAGTTTTCTGATATTGAAAAGTTAGAAGAAGCTTTGTCATCGTCAATAGCTAATAGATGGGTAAGTTGCTTCCAAATTACTTTATTCATTTCTATAATTTTAAATATTTCACCTAATGGATATATGAAGTATAGGGTTATTTTTTTTGACTTGTCGACTCTGCACCTGTCTGACTCTTCGGGTACCTGAAACAGTAAGAGAGTTAGTGATGCGTGACAGCAGAGCCCGGGAGACAACTGCTTGAGGCCTGTCACACATGGCCTGTATAAACTGGTTACTTGGATTGGTTCCGTATTAGTAAACTTACTGCCGGTTACGGACCATCGTAGAGTAAGTCGGGATGTACAATTTTTGGGGTCGATATTTTCTAACCCCCTCTCTCCGGAGTGGAGAGATAGCATAACTGGCTGGCTGGCATGCTGATCATCTGAGGGAAACACCTCACTGCTGTTATGTTATGTACTGGTCGAGAAATTAATAGTCCTGACTCAAGAAAGACGGAAATCAGAAGACCACTAGGTCTGCGATGATACTTCTATTTTCCAAAACACAAGGAGAATCAATATGTCACACAAGAGTGTGAAAGAAAAAATATAAGAATGTCCGAACAAGTCTGTGAACACAAGTGTGTGAGCGAATATTCAAAATGAACAAATCAATAGACAGTCTTTACATGATTGGCTAATTATAATGGAATATCGATCCATACATACATAGCAAAATATATCAGACTGTCAAACAAACACACATATTATATGGATACATATCACCAAGAACAGACTGTCAAACAAACACACATTATGTGGATACATATCACCAAGAACAGACTGTCAAACAAACACACATTATGTGGATACATATCACCAAGAACAGACTGTCAAACAAACACACATTATATGGATACATATCACCAAGAACAGACTGTCAAACAAAACACACATATTATATGGATACATATCATGTTACACCCCTGTTCCCCAGCAATATGACTTCGCCTTCATACCCCCAGCATATAGTGTAAGAAAAATTCTTACACGATGCCGGTAACTGCTTTCAGTCTAATCGATAAACTAACAACCTTCCTGGTATGGCAGGACCTGCAGGAACATTGGTTCCAGCCAGTGTAGCTTGCTGGGTCATCGTAATGTGCAAGCCCGACCAACACGTTAAGGTAGCAGCTGCACCACCAATTAGAGCGCTAATAACGCTTGAATTCTACGCCATGTAACAGTAATTGATCAACGTCATGAACCAACACTAGTTATTATAATACTCACAAATTTACCAGAGATCGAGTGGGAGACCTTCAAGTTGGTGACGACGTCAAGCTGGTTGCCTGTTCAACTAGCCAATCGTAGTTGTTACTTATTTACTGGAATAATCTGAGCTCCGAATCAAATTGAATCATTATAACTTATAAAAAAATAATCATAGAGTGTTTAAGAAAACCTCAAAACAAGATATTTCTGTACGTTTCGCTGTGTAAGTCACACCTGCTTCTTCAGCAAAATTATCCAAATTTTATTAACAACCATCAAAATTTATGGTCAGAAAAAATTACATAAACTGAAGTGAATTTAAAACATTTGTTTCCCGATACAAATTTGAAACAAGCAACAAAGCAGGTTAATAAAGCAGAATGATATAATGAATTCATCAAATATCGGTAGAACTCGTCAGCTACTGAATACTCTACATACACGGATATATATATACTTTCGAAATTACGTTGGGAGATATAAGACTGATAAGCACAAATAAACTACATTGGATTAATCATGTAGAAAGACAGGTGCAAATGTTTTCCAGGTCATGTTCAAATAGATAAGGGGAAAGAGACTACGAGAGATTGAAATTAAGATAAAAATGCATTATGCCTCAATTACATCACTTAGATAAACAATTAGTCATTAAAGAATATAACAAAAATTGCAGAGTAATATCAATAGTATTAATTATATTAATGATAATAATAATAATGTTGAAGTCAGTTAAGATAATGCTATTGATAAAAGATAGTTTTAATGAATCAAGAATAATAATAATACCATGGTAGATTCCGAGCGATGACCATCTCCTTTTGTACACAGAGACCTGGTTTATAAACTCGAATTGCACAAGCCTCTGTGATTGCAAGCATCTTCTTGTTTCTTTGTCAGCTGACAACAGTGAGTGACTTGACAGTGTGGATATCATGTCCATAATCCACAAGATGTTTTGTTATTGAGGTTTTTGGCACTTTGCACTCACCTGTTTTCAACCATGAGAGTAGACAATCGCCTTTCTCTACGACCTGTGTATTTGTTTCCAAAAACACACTCAATTTGATGTAGACAGTTTGAAGTGTTCAGGATTGGCGACTGGTCTTTCACAGATTGTTGGATCACTCGCTTGGTGGTGGTGTTAAGGATAACAAGTTTTGCAGCATAATAAGTCCTCTTGATGGCTTTATGGAGTCTTCGATTGACTACTTCTTGTACACATCATCTCCTTTGAATGCCAAACTGATATAGACAGATTTCTTCGGAACTGTTTGGATTGTTTTGCAGGGGCTCATTTCTTTAGAATATTTATTAATGAACTTCTCAGGATAACCATTTTTAAATAAAATATCCTACAGAGGATTGTATTTCATGCTCATTTGATGAATTCATTAAATCCTGCTTTATTAACCTTTATTGATTGTTTTGAAGTGAATTCCTTTGAAGGTCAACTGTCAGTAGACAGGAAAATCTAGACAGTCATCAGATATTTGTAATGACCAATGTCAAATTGTCACATGTGTATATTTATTATTGATCTGTCTAACTCAGTGTGTCACCATGTAGTTTGTGACATGGGAATCACGTGAAAACATGATAACATTTTTACAAAGGTCACAACATAGGACTGAATACTTCTGTATTTTGTCTCATCTTGTTTGCTTCATTAAGGTCTGACATATAGGTGATGAGTCTACTCCCACTCTCTCTCTCTCTCTTGCATTTACTCCATTTGAAATAATAAAGGTTTTTTTGTATTTCCCAATGAATGAAAAAAACAAAACGATATCGTCGGTTTTACTGACGTTTCGCTATTTAATGCAGCTGCTAATAACTTTATCAAAGTAATATTATTGTACCAGAATTTACAAAATCCACTCAGCTGGTATATAACTAAGAGTTAAGAGGTGAGAAAATAGACTTAGGTCACGTTAAAGGGACATATTAAAAGTCAAAATAACAATGAAGATCACTAAACCAAATAACAAAGGTAATAATACACCTGTTATGATACCAAAATAAAGTTTACTAACTTGATCATCGTTCGTTAGTCTGGGGTCATTTTTCGCTGTCAAGTTGGCCAATTGGTAATGATAACAAAACCAAGTGTAGTAGTGTATGTTTACATAGTGAAACTGCCAATCACATTCGTGTTGATTTTGTCACTTCATGGGTAGGGAGGTGTTGTAACCATGTCAGATTCTGTTTTAGTCCATCATTCCTATTCAGACAATTTGGATTCCATTTGATATGGAGTGCTTCTAATGATATCAGACGTTCTTTTTGATTTCTGAAATGCTTTTTCTGGATGATGATTTCAGTATTGTCAAAATCAATTTTGTGACCTGATTCTACAGCGTGGCGTGTAGACCAGCTATGGCTGATGATTTTTCGAGCTTTTCTAGTTCAACTGGATTTCTCGGTGGTCGAACATTGGCAACTCTATGGTGTTCATTTCTTCTGATTTTGATTTCTCGAGATGTTTGTCCGATGTAGATTGCATCACATTCCAAGCATTTTATTTTATAGACACAATTAGATAGAGAATCTTTGGGGATTTGGTCTTTTATATCGATAAGGTTGCTTTGAAGTGTGTCTGATGTTTTGAAGAAAACTCTAATGTCGAGCTGATTGAGTACTCTTCTGATATCGTCTGACGTCTCTGCTCTATATGGAATGACGACTGTTGAGGTCCATATTTCGGAATGCATCTTTGGTCATACTTAATGCCTGTGTTGATTTTGTTGATGAAGTTCGTTGGGTAGTTGTTTTGCTTGAGAATTTCGAGTTGTCACACCATGTAGTACACAAAGTTAAGAGAAAGAGGGAAAAATGCATCTACGCTATTGAGAGCGATTTTGAGTGATATCACTGGCAACGTGAAGTCATTGGTTCTAATGTCTCAAGGGATTCATCCTATCAAATGTAAGACGATTCTGTTGATATTGGTCGGGGTTCGAAAGGAGTTAAATGTGGTCAAACCAAAACCTGGCATCACTCCATGTCATCATTAACAGTTATTTTGAGCCATGTAGGGAGATGTAAGCTATATGGCTGGGATGCTCAGGATTCTTAGAATCAATGGCTGGCGACTATTCGAGATGTGGCTCAAGGTCGTTCTGAATGACACAGATACATTCACTCTTTGTGATCTCCAGAGCCAATACACCGCTCATGAAATGCTGCACATCTGTGCGTAATTCTATCTTGAAACTCTGTCAGTCAAATGCTACACGTGCCACCTTTTGTATCTATACTTAGATTTCAACATCGATCAGCTAATAAGGATTGATGTGACTTCCAAGATAAGTGAAGTGGGTGGTCAATACGTTCAACCACTTTGCTCCTTATTTCTTATATGAGTCCATCGGTAGATCAGTCTTACAGCATCATCTTCTGATTGTTGGGAGGTGTGGTGAGGGTTGGCTGCTAGCCAAAATTGGTAGATAGTAATTTACGTCCCCAATATTGGCCATGAGAAAAATAACAAAAACAAAGACTGACTCAACAACCAATCACAGAAGACTTTGTTTCCGTAGGCGGATACAATTTGCAGATAGATAATCTGAACTTCAAGAAACAACCACAAAGAGATGAAAGATTAACATTCAGCGAGAAACCACCAATCAGAAGACTGTGTTAGATTGCTTACAATAATCTATAATAATGTACATGAAAATCTATAAATACCTGTTGATCTCCTCAATAAACGATCTATTGCCTGGCCGTTGTTTTCTGTTGTTACAGGGGGAATCGTCTGCTAGACGCTCTTCCATAGTTGTGTAAGTTCAGCTAGAA